TTGTGGTGGTGTTCTCTTCTATCCCTCCAAATAATTTTGGCCCTTCTTCTTTCCTTCTGAGCAATTTAGGTATCCAGCGCAAGTCGCCTTTGTTTCTTTCGATCGGCATCTCAGATCTTTCCTTCGCTTGTCTCTAGTGATTGATGAATGACTGTTTCTCCCATTTGTTCTCCCCTCCATATGGATGGACCCCATTGATTGATTAATTGCCTGCGATCGAATTTTGTACGATCCTGATTGTCACCTTCCTTTTTTCTGCTTATGTATGCATAAAACTGGAAGATGGGTATTTGTCTGTCGAAATTGAGTAAGCACGCTAGATGATCAGATGTTTGCCTCACACCTAGGGCTGTCCACCCTCGGTTAACAGGCCAGCGCGTACGAGATATGGGTCATTAGCCATTGTCTATAGGACCGAAGGGCAGGCCTTGTGCATGCACGTGTAAGCCCGATCAGAAGAATCTGGCCTACACATGTGTCTGCAGTGCCAGTGCTCGGTCTAACCTTTTGAATGACGGAGTCCCCGCCTCACCCCACAGCATGAATATTGAACTCCCTTTTCGTATTACTGATTGCGAGTGCTTGAGGGATCCGGAATTTCGGGAGTACTGGGAGCACGTGTGTTTTTCTGCACGATTGAGGAGAAACCTTCCTGAATTCCCATACCCGATGGGAAACGAACGTATCTGCGAGCGGGACATCGACCGAGCTCGCGAGCGTATTCCCCACCACCCTGAATTCCCCAGCTCATACACGTGCCACCTCATTGCGGAACCAGGAATAATTATTCTGGAAACCGACTTCCCTCCCTACCACCGCGCACTTCCCTTTCATTCGCTGACCATCATCCCCTAGCGTGCCATCGCTCCATATTGGCCCCACCCCCCGTGTTCGGAGTGCTTGCAGGACCGTGAGTACTGAGCCTCTGGCTTCATCCGGCGAACCCGATTGGAGGAAGAGCGACGAGCGCACAGCCTTCAGCTACAGCCAGCTGCGTCAGACTCTGAGACCAGTAACACACGACGCCAGCAAGTGGTTGAACAGTGCGATAGCCATAGCATCCCGCCGGTGCACCAAGTCCGAGTCCGACCCAGGCAACGGAACCAACCGAGGTGGTAGCTCCACGCTCAGACTTCAACCGGCGCCTACCCTTTTACATCTCTACCCCTGAAACTTGCCACAGGCGATCTCAGTTCCGACCTGGGACTCCCCCCCCCACTCCCCAAAATCCTTGGCACACCCCTTTTCACACTTCCAGGCCCACTCCCACTCCGATCAGGAAGTCGCGCCGGGTGTGAGGTTGGGCATCACATCATTAGATGTCAGGAACAGGTGGCAAGCGGAGGCTCAGGAAAGGACCTGTCAGGTGACATCTCAACGCCCACGTCGAGGGCGCTGTGGAAGGACTTGAGGAATTCAAGGTGCCCTCAGCAAAATTCCCAAGTCGGCTGTGGCTTCAAGCTCATAGAGCTGTACCTATGGCTAAATGGCTCACATATAACCAGATGGAAGTTGAGGTTACGTGCAGCTGCAGATGCAAGAAGAAGGTGGAAACAGCCACCCACCTATGGTGGTGGGACTGTATTGAGGCGAAGAGAATCTGGGTGTGGTGGGAAAGACTTTGGAACAAACACCTGCAGTGGGGATAGAGGTTAAGTGGGAAGAAAGGCTGGTCATTGAGGGGATGTTTGTGAACTCAAAGAAGAATTGGGTAAAGGATGGACTTATGTGTTGTGTGCCTATAGGGCAGCGAACGTGTACTCCATTTGGACCCTAAGAAATGACAGGTTTTCCAGAACCGAATTTTATGCGGACATTGCTACTATTGATATGATTCTCTCTGACTTGACTATCAGAAGGTTGATCTGGACTGACTGGAGGATGAACAGAGACCTTCACAAGAAGAATGGGAGAATCAGATTTTCAGAACATGAATTGGGGAGTCAGCGTGAAATTGCTGAAGAGAGATGAAGGCTGAAGGGATCATAATCGAGACGCGGGTTCTGAACTACGGGCAGTACGCCTCTAAAAGGAACCTTAGCTCCTGGGTTTGGCTTGGTTCAGCGATCCCATTCTGATATGCTGAAATCCTCCTCTGAAATGTTGAGTTTTGGATCCGTCTAAGACATGCCCCCAGGCGGTCATTGAATGGGGTGAACAGGTCCACGTAGATAGGCTGCCCTCTGGAGACCATTGTCTGCTCTCGATGGGACGGTGATAGTACCTGAGGACGGCACAGTTACAAACTGAAAGATTGATCCGTCCCTTCGAATGAGGGACGCTGGACCCAGTTTTCAGCAGGTGCGGCTCCCCACCAATAGATTTTATTTTACTTTATTTTATTATTTTTTTCCCTGCTGGAAACCGGGTCCAGCGTCCCATGATAGAATTCAATATTGAAAGTAAATAAAGAGAGAGCCAGATTTGCCTCTACAGTCCCCTGAGAACTGCCAAATATGTCTCTCAACACTAGCTACCTCTGCCTTTCCTTAATATTTCTTGAATTTTTCAGCCCTCTCCCAACCCAAACCATTGCATCTCTACAAGAGCAAGCTCAGAAGGAGGAAATGGATCTGTGAGGAAAATTGTATCTCCAATAGACTGGAGTCCCAGTTGTGGAAAAATCGGAACAATACACAGAAGATTGGGATTGCCCCGGCGAATGGATAACAAAAAAAAAAAAAAAAAAGGGAAAAAAAGAAAAAGAAAGAGAAAAAGGAAAATAAACAGGTACTACCTAGGCTACCAGAGTGGCCCGAGGTCACTTGCCCGGCCGGGCCGAAAAGATAAAAAAAAACATAAACAAATTATTTTATATTTTAAATTTGGTAAAGAATTTCGATGTAACCCTGAGGAAAAGTTGTTCAGTTTATTTTTCTGCATAACGTATTTTTTTTTTCGGATTTTTTGGATTTTTGTTTTTTTTTTGCTGGGACCTTCCTTTGTCCTTGCACGGGCTGGCCACCCTGGACCCGGGCGGCCCGGCTGGTAGCCTAGGATAGTACACCCTT